AAAAGGGGGAAAAGGGGGAAAAAGGGGGAAAGATTTTTTTTTTTTGGAAAAAAAAGTGTTCCTTTCCCACTTGTATCACAGAGAAACAACAGTTTAAGTTAAGTCTAACGTTAACGTTAATTTGTTATTAAAATGTAGAGTACAGCCCTTGGCCTTAGGCCTAATTTAGGTCGTAACTGTTACTGTTTGAAAATCTAAAGTAAAATTAGATGGTTTTCATGGTTAGACCAAGTAATTGAGAAAAAAAAAGTTTACCCGTCACTGAGACCAGGTCAATCAATCTTCTAGATCCATTATTAGGGTCTATGGAAGAAGGAGATCGGGGGGGGGGGGGTGGGGGGCGAAAGGGCCTTGCCTCCCAGGCTGTTGCCTCCCCCCAATAAAACAAAATAAGAGAGAAGGAAGGAAATAGAAAGAAAAAAGGAAAAGAGGAGATAAAGGGAAGGAAAATTGACGAAGAAGTAAAGAAAAGAAGGGGGATATCACTTGCAATTTTCCCGCCAACAAGTTGCGGATGGGGGTGGGGCAAAAGGCCTTTGCCTCCCCCGCCCGCGATTTTTTTTTCCGTACTCGAGAGGGCAAATACCCCATGTGCGCATGCGCGTGGACTTGTGATTTCTCTGCTACTTCCCATACGAAATGTACATGTATTCGCATGTACTGTGCACGATTCGCGTTCTACGAGTAAACGATGGCATAGTAGTCTTCAAACACAGACTCTGATTTGCCAGTTTGACAAAACAATTACGCATATATCGTGCGTAGCAATAGTACTAGTATTCAAGTCTGAGTAGTTGTATGATTCAGACATTTTAGTGCTTACAGAAATGCATCCCAAATTGAATAGCATGGTATAGTAGTCTGCAAGCACAGACGCTAATCGGACAGTTTGACAACATAGTGTCTTGAGTAGTGCTTTATATTCAAATATGTGTAGTTTTATGATTCAGACCCTACTGGTGCGTGTATTGGAAAGGCATCTCAACTTGCAGAGTGGCATAGTAGTCTGCAAGCACAGACGCTAATCTGACAGTTTGACAAAATAGTGTTATTCAAGTCTGAGTAGTTTTATGATTCAGACCCTACTGGTGCGTGTATTGGAAATGCACCTCAACTTATAGAGTGGCATAGTAGTATGCAAGCACAGACTCTCCTTTGACAGTTTGACAGAATAATATAGGCCTATTGTGTATTGAGTAGTGCTTTTATTCAAGTTTTCGTAGTTTTCTGTGTTGTGCCACTGCTCTCTCACTCTCTCTCTCTCTCTCTCTCTCAGATTCAATTTTATTGATTTCTGAAGAAGAAAACATTATAGGCTAGGCCTAAGTGCGGAATGTGTCGAATCAATTTTACAACTGAATATTTGTCTTGCTTTGTCTTTCCGTTCGTGCCCACAATCAAGATGATTGAATCATTTATTTCATCATGTGTGTTTGTTCTATCACGATTTTATTATTAATTTGACCATGGATTATACTGACAAAGGAGTTATTAGACCAAAGTTAGAAATATTATTACAGAATGACGGTTTTGAGAAGGCCAATAAATGACCTCATGGTGTGTGGGTTTGTTCAGAGCCAGAAGGGCATTCGTTGTGTTAAGAGTTAACATCCTTCTGGCTCTCAGCAGACCATGATTATAAATAAAAGTAATACAGAGAGTGCGAGCATACTGGAGGGAGGGCTAGAGAGAGAGAGAGAGAGAGAAAGAGAGAGAGATATGGAGAGAGAGAGAGAGAGAGAGAAAGAGTGTGAGAGAGCAGTGGCACAATACATAGGCCTACCATGGGGTCTGGAATCATTAAACTACACAAACTTGCATAAAATCACTACTCATCAATAGTTCAATACACAATATTTTATGTCCTTGCAGACTACTATACTACACTCTACACATTGAGATGCATTTCTAACGCACGCACCAGTAGGGTCTGAATCATACATCTACGCAGACTTGAATAAAGTACTTCTCAGCACACTACTAGTATGTTGTCAAACTGTCAGATTAGCGTCTGTGCTTGCAGACTACTATACCATTCTATACAAGTTGGCGACTTGAATAAAGTACTTCTCAGCACACTACTAGTATGTTGTCAAACTGTCAGATTAGCGTCTGTGCTTGCAGACTACTATACCATTCTATACAAGTTGCAATGTATTTCCATATGCACTACTGGGTCTGAATCATACAACTACACAGACTTGAATAAGCACATCGCGACACATACGCATATTGATTTGTCAAACTGGCAAATCAGAGTCTGTGTTTGAAGACTACTATGCCATCGTTTACTCGTAGAACGCGAATCGTGCACAGTACATGCGAATACATGTACATTTCGTATGGGAAGTAGCAGAGAAATCTTAAGTCCACGCGCATGCGCACATGGGATTTTTGCTCTCTCGAGTACGGAAAAAAAATTCGCCCCCCGCCCCGGCTAAAAAAAAAGAGAGAGAAGGAAGGAAAAGGAAAAAAGGAGAGCTAAAAGGGACCAAAAAAGAAGAAGAAGAAAAAACTAGAAATGCAATCGTGTCACAACGATGTGCGTGCAATGACGCCGTGTTTCTACGTGTCGAACGAAAGAGCTTCTCTCGGACTATCCAGAGCAATGTGTACGAAGTCTTTAGCTTCTGTAATATTGGAGACAGGTAGGGCGAAAGAAAGGCCTCAATAGTGACCTTGATTGGATGGTAGTGACTATGCCTACGATGTTTGAAAGAAATTGGGATAGGGGAAAGAACCTAGAAAGGGCTCGCAAGCACTGCGTGCAAAAACAAATGGGATTAGTTGCATGTTCGTCAAATCAATCAAGCTCGTTCTAGGGGTCAAAAGCGTGAACCCGATTTGCCCCATAGACAATGCGTGTAATGCATGGGCGGAAAACGTACAGGATCTGTATTATGACCGGAGTTAAATTGCTTTTTCTCTCTCTCTTTATGTCTCTTTATGGGCCGTATATGGTATCATTGGAAAGAGAATTTCATGGTTGTTATTGTAAACTACTCTCTTTTTTTCTATGATAATCCTATCGAAACATGTGATGTAAAATAGATTTAAAGGACAAAATGGCGTCTTAAATGGCCCCCTTGACTACTTTCAAAAATCCGGCCACGAGGTGCCCTGCGTATTGCATCTCGGAATGTCATTGCAAATTTTCAACGAAAAAAAAGGATGTTTAGCGGGCGAAAAGTAGTCTGAAAAAATGACGTCATCGCAAATGATGGATGTAATCGGGCGGAATTCGTATAGTGACCCTTGTTCAAATGCGATTTACTCACAATTTTCTGTGTAAACATATACCATACTTGGTATCATTCGAAAGGGCACTTCATTGCGGTCAGTTTGACACCATTGTCATCTGCACGCAATGTACTGCACGCATTAAAGGCGCTATTACGTAATGCATAGCAAATTCATCATTTTTGGCGATAACTTTGCGCTGACGTTATTAAAATTTACCAAACTTGACAGACAGTTGTCACGTATATGGATACATGTGTCTGCCAAGTTTCAACGACGTAGGTATAACGATCGTCATTTTAGAGCAAGTTGAAGTTATTTCGGAATTTTCTTGAAAATGGCGAATTTGGAGGGCAATTTTCGCAAAGTTGGTCAGTGATAGTGTATATAATTTTGTATATGGCTCGAAAGGGCATATCTTCAAGTATCTAAATTCAAAAAAGGGTACGGGTTTGCTAAGCCATTATGGAGATACGGCCACAGAGAGAAAGCCAATTCCCAGAACTTTAGAGGGCGCTATTTATGTTGTGCAAGCCCATTGGAGCGTGAAATTTAGCATGGCTATGTGCAATTATGAGATAAAGATACTGTGAGATTTAAATACAAAACGGAATTTATATGAGAAAGTTATGGCAGTTTTAGATTATTTAGGGGTCCATTTTTCAAGAACTTGAGAGATTTTTGACGGAGTCGGTTTTAGATTTGAATTTCGAGTATGAAGATGGCATTTTGAAGGTCAAGTCATGTGTCGCAGATGAAAGAACATCTCTCAGACTATCTAGAGGAATTTGTTAGAAGTTTGTAGGATGAAGGATAGTGGAGACAGGAAGAAAGAAAGAAAGGCCTTAAAATGGACCAGAAACTGACAAAATGGCGCCTGGACGGTTATGCATGAGTGATTTCGAGAATCGAAGAATGTAGTGACCTTGATGAGATGTTAGAGACTATGCCTATGAAATTTGAAAGGAAAAGGACATGAGGAAAGCACCTAACTAGGAATAACAAGCACTACGTGCAAAACGAATGGGATTCCGGACGACAAGAAGAAGAGGAGGAAGAAGAAGTAAGAATATTAATAAGAAGAATGTGAACGAAAACAAGGCAATGACGAAGGTTCGTCATTGCAAAAAGGGTGAAAAGAATTTCGATGCGGTGTTCGAGTAGAATATGTGAGATGATGATATACTTTCTCGTAGCTTGATGTGACGAAGTGTCTCTATCCAGATATCTGTTGATAGTATATTAAAATATAAAAGCCTGGTATGACCTTCTGCTCGTAACCGACACGTCACCGCATTAAAATTAAATTGCAAATAGTGTTCAACAACACGATGGTGGATGAAACTTTCTAATATTCGAAGATATATGACCCTCAGACCATATTGTTTCATTTTTTTTATTCAATCAATCAACGTCAAAGAATTGATTCATCATCGCTCTTCAATTTATTATTTCACCTTTTAATGTACTTTCATTCTTATGCATCACGAAGGAACACTGAATTGGATTCTTCAATGTGTGTTTTGATTAATTTTCTCCCCTTTCCTTCTCCCTGTTTAATACTGATAACATTTTCAATTTTTCTTAATTAAGGCAAAATATTATTTTCATATTTTCTTTATGCAAGACAGGGTGAGAGAGATAGAGAGAATATGTTAAGTGAGAATTATCGAGTACAACTATGAATTGCATCCTTTTCAATATAATTAAATTCGCTGAAAATCTTTATTTTATAATTCCACGGGGGCGATTTTTAATTTTGCAATCGCCCCCGTGGACAACCTGATGGGGGCGATTATGGAGCTCACGGGGGCGAATCGCCCATCGCCCCCGTGTATTTTGAGCGCTGTTTACCATACCATTATATAATGGTTTTAGTTCAGTCTATTGCGTGAGTAATGTTAAAAAGCCCACTATAAAAATACTTTAAAAATACTTTAAAAATTCTCAACAGAGTTAATATCCGGCTCTTTGTAAGGTTTTACGACACGTGCTCCTGGGCCGACTGCTCCGCATCAACTTGCTAAACTAGCCGATTTTTTAACTTCAACCCTGGACCTTACACTATCCATAACCACAATCCTAACCCTGTATATTACCAACCTAAAACTCAATAGCGACCCTTACCCAAACCCCTACACCCTTGACGAAATAGAGCCCGGAGCAAATGTCATCGCGGTAAAATAACGGGTCATTGCGGTAAAATAACGGATCATCTCTTGTAAGTTGTAAGCCTCATAACCTTCCGTCTCGTCTCTTTGACGATCTTCAGTCGCATTTGAATCGGAAGTTTTCACAGGCTGTCTTCTCTTGAAAATGATTACCATCGTGGATACGAGAGCGAGACCTATCATTGACATCACTCCAAGGAACAGGAAGAGGATTTTGCTATCCCCAGTTTGATCCTGGACGAAACCTGTCAGAAGAAAGAAGTGATAAACACGTAGTGATGATGAAAAGAGTCGCATAATCAAATTGGTGTAGATTTTTTTTTTAAACTCCACTAATTTCTACCTTTTACACTGAAAACTTACAAATTAATATTCATTCTATTCATACAATCGGACCATTTTCCCAGTTCACTTTCATTATTACTGGAGCAACATTGTTCTTCGTTTTTAATCAGTTACTTATTTATTTAATCATTTATTTTTTTTATTTTTTCTCTCAAAATAAAGTTTATTTAACCCTATTTTAACTGGGCTATTTCAGACCAGGTTTTTACTGGGGGGGGGGGGGGGGGTCAATTTGACCCCCCCCCTAAGATCTCGGCCGTTTCACCGCCGATCGCCGCGAAAATTTGCATGCATGTCAAGTGAAGTGTATAGAATACTATGGTAATTTCAAATTTTTGAAAAATTCACTCATTTGCATATTTATGGTAATTTATGCAAATAAGGTCATAAAATTCACATTTCGGCCCATAAATCATAGATTATTCATATTTAAGTATTCTTTTTCACTACATATATTTATTAGACCATTTGAAATAATAATACAACACAAAAAATTGGAAGAGCAAGGTTATTCCTTATGTTATATCTTGTTTTTATAATTTCTTATGTATTTTTATTGTTTTTCTAACTTATGTATTTTATTGTTTTTGTTGTTTTATTTCATTTATAACTACAATTCAACTATTTTGACCCCAAAACAAACATCTAAACTTTAAACAAGACTGAATAACCAATGTTTTATCTATTTTTAGGAAAAATGACTTTTACATATGTTTTGTACACAAATCACGAAAATGAGCGATTTTCGGGCTGACATGCAAAGACAAAAGGTCACGTGACCTTGTAACCGTAGGTCCGATTTTCAAAAAAATTGTTTTAAAAGATGCGTAACACTCGAAAGTAAAAAGTCATGAGAGGAAATTTTTATATCTGCCGCGGTTTCGGAGTAGTCGCGAAATTTCTACAGGGGGGGGGGGGTCAAATTGACCCCCCCCCCCAGTTAACGTAGGGTTAAGTCTCATTTGTACGAGCATTCTGCTCATTCCCTCATACCGATCCATCCTCTCCTTCCTCTCCAAACCTGACAGTAACGCCACGTCATACACGTTTTACAAAATTATTCGGATGGAAGCTGTCTCCGATTGAAATTGAAATATCTCGAATTAACTTAAACGAAGCTAAGAGTTGCTATACCTGAAATATAACCAGCTGTGAGGTATCCTATACCTATAGCGAAGAAAAAAAGATTGCTGGCATCGGGAAAGTTTTCCTTCTTAATAACCTCTGACATCACGGCCTCGATCACGACGTTTACGCCGAATAGTCCGAATCCGATGAAAAAGGATGTAACCAGCAGATAGATATATGAGGAGTGAAGTACTTGCAAGAAGAACATGACTGCAAAAAGCGCCTGGTTTGCGATCCAGTAATATGGACTCCATTGAGGACGGTAGCGAAGACCAACGGACAAGAGAAAAGACGAAACGAGCCCGCCGACGGCTCCGGATGTTGCGAGGTAAGTCCCACGAGCGATATCGATTCCGTGATCCAAGGCATAAACTACGACAAACAGCGCCCACCCCCCTGTCACCAAGAATAATACCAAGACGCTAGGGAGGTAGAAGATGGCGAAAAGTGGTTCCTTGATCAGGACATCAAGATAAAAGAAAGTAAGACAAGTCGACCCATTCTTTCCGCTTGTCGGACGAATGACAGTACAATTTGAAGAATGTTGTAGAAGAGGTTCTGGTGTATCTTTGGTGGGTGAATTTGCCAGAGTGTCTTTGCCACCTTGCGGATATTGCTCAATTCTTGCATTATTAGAAGCCGTATTACACTCTTGCGATGACAATTCTGGTCCGAAATTATCCAGTTGGCTCTGTCTGTCGATATTTGTCGAATATTCGAGGCTCTGAGAGTCGAGTTCTGGATCCACCTGGCTCCTCACATCTTGGATGGATAATGTGACGTATTTTCCCGAGTTTTCGCTTGTTACTCCAGATGGTGTCACCATGAGTGGCTTCAATTCCTTCTGGTTTTGTTGAATGACGTCATCTGAAGCGGATCTCTTTGTCTTTGGAACCTTTAGCACCAGACCAATGGGAGCATATTGAGGACCATAGCCCCAAGGATTAGCAGGGCCCCGCTCAACCCGTAATATTCTAAGAATTTCTCTGTAATTGGAGGCAAGATGGCGGCACCGATGGGAACACCGAGGACAGAGATGCAGCTCACGAAAGGGAAATCTTCCTGGTAGTATTCGTGCAGCAGAACAAGCGCTTGAAGATTTATAACCGAGCAGCATAACCCTGCGAGCACACAAGAGAAAGAGAAAATAACAAATGAATCAGATGTAAATAATATAGTAATTTGTAAAGCTACGGTCACAAAAGTTCGTACGAACGATGCGTTCGTACGAATCTCTCCGTTTTTTCATGGTCTGAAAATCGTTCGTACGGCGTTCGTAGCAATTCGTAATGGCATTTGTGACCGAGGTTATTTAAAACAGAAATTCCCCATGAAAATCAAAACAAAATAATGTAGATCAGAGACTTCTCAGAATGTACCTTTAGTCAACTATGAAGTAACTTTTTGTGTAAAATACATGGTACTGCAGATAATATTGCAGGTAGAAAATATTCTAAAGGACGGGGGGGGGGGGAAGGAGAGCATATTTTTTTGTTGTCCCTAAAATTTGAAAATTATGCCGACCGATATTTCGTTAAAAAATATTTGAGGGGGGGGGGGGGTAACCTCAACCCCCCCCCCCCCCCCCCGTCTGTGTACGCGCCTGGTTGATAGCAAGGTGGAAGATCGAATGGTTCGCAATTACCTAGGCAGATGAAAAGTGGTCCCATTATGAAGAGGTTTCGCGTGAACGACAATGCAATGAGTGAACAGCCAGCCATCAGCCCCACGACGGATGTTAAAATCCGAGGGCGGGGACATCGATGTAACAGCATCTTCGCCATCGGAGCTAAAGAAAATGAAATAAATCAATTTCAATTTATTTATGTTCCCAACAAATCAACACAAATCAATTCTAAACATTTACAACAAAATGTAGAAATACATATTGGTAAAAGAGGGGTCCACTAAAAAGCAATGCTTGTACAAGTGTGAACACTTAATGATACCTAGGAATAATAATAAAACAAGTCCGTAACTACAAAAGGAACTACAAAATAGGATGCGACAATTATTGTTCTGGGCTTTAATTGTTTCGTCAAAGGCATAGGTTAGAGTTAGGGTTGGAATATTGAGGTTTTAGGTTAGCGTTAAGGTTAGGTGTGGGGTTTGGGGATTTCGTGTAGGAAAGTGACTCGGAGCAATTGTCGCAAGAGCATTAATGTCCTACAACCAGGCGCGTACGCAGGGGGGTGGTTTTGGGGTTAAACCCCCCCCCCCTCGAGTTTTTTTTATGTGTATGTTTTATGTATGTTTTTTTGGAAACCCCCCCTTTTGATTTTAACCCCCCCCCCCCCCCTTGAAAAAAAAATCCTGCGTACGCCACTGCGTACAACCCAATGGGCAGTTTGTCAGTTTGATGAAAGAGGAGGATCTAAGCTTTACAAATAATTATGTGTCATTTATTAAGTATAATTGTGATTAAGTTATGATAAAACATCGATAATTCTAGGATTCGTTTTTTCTAGGACGCACTGTATAATATTATAATTATTATGGAGTTATTTAAATTTGCGTGGAAGAAGAACACCAACAATAATGATGATGATGATAATAGTAATATTGATAATTGTACCAATAATATAATAAGTATAATGAAACGTTTAACTTACATGCCAGACACATAGTAGCCAAGGAGAGTGATGTGATGAGACCGATGATGGCGTTTGAAGCCTGCAGCTGTTCTTCCAATTCGGGGACGAGCACACCGAACGACTTGGCAAGACCAATCTCCATGCTGTAGAAGGAGAATCTAGCTGCAAGGATGATCCCTGCACCCGGCCTCACCATAGCGATATAATATATCTTGGTATTAAGTAGACAGCAATTCTGGATATTATAAGGATACAGTATAGAACCGGTTAGAGCGTAAAACAGATGAAGTGTTTTGAAATAATCTTAAAACGTATCTGTTTGATTCGGCATATAATCGTTCTTTCAATTTCGTATGTTATTTCTCATAGTTCCTTTGTTTATAATGCAAATACTTCGTTGTGATATCTTCTTTTTCTTTTTCTTTTTCTTCTTTGTCTTCTTCTTCTTCTTTTTGTTTGTTTCACAAGTGCGCCTATGGAATATTTGCTTTCAATTGGATTTGGAGCCTTACTAATCTCATACAGGGGCGGATCCAGCCGGCGGCAAGACGGGGGGCAAATCTGGATATTTAGCGGCGAATCAGCCAGTCGGCGAACGGCGAATCAGCCGGGGGGGGGGGGGGGGGGGGGGGGGGGGAGTAAGAGCACATATATATATATATATATATATATATATATATATATATATATATTTATTTATTTTTAATTACGGTCAGAGAAGCACAAATATTTTGATGCTATTACGTTCATTAAATCATTAGAGAAAGAAGACGATTCGTTGTACCGTTCTCGACTTTAATTCTCATCTAAATTTAGTCTTTTCCTTCCCCCTCCCTCCCGCGCGAAGCGCGGAAGCTATTACGTTTCATTAAATCATTAGAGAAAGAAGACGATTCGTTGTACCTTTCTCGACTTTTAATCCTCATCTGAATTCAGTTTTTCCCTTCCCCCCTGCGCGAAGCGCGGAAGCTTTTACGTTTCATAAAATCATTGGAGAAAGAAGACAATTCGTTGTACCGTTCTCGACTCTTAATCCTCGTCTGAATTTAGTCCCCCCCCCCCCCTCTCGCGCGAAGCGCGGAAGCTTATACGTTTCATTAAATAATTAGAGAAAGAAGACGATTCGTTGTACTGTTCTCGACTCTTAATCCTCATCTGAATTCAGTTCCCCCCTCCCCTCCGCGCGAAGCGCGGAAGCTTTTACGTTTCATTAAATCATTAGAGAAAGAAGACGATTCGTTGTACCGTTCTCGACTTTTAATCCTCATCTGAATTCAGTTTTTTCCCTTCCCCCCTCCTGCGCGAAGCGCGGAAACTTTTACGTTTCATAAAATCATTGGAGAAAGAAGACGATTCGTTGTACCGTTCTCGACTCTTAATCCTCGTCTGAGTTTAGTTTCCCCCCCCCCCCTCCTGCGCGAAGCGCGGAAGCTTTTACGTTTCATTAAATCATTACGAAAAGAAGACCATTCATTTTACCGTTCTCGACTTTTAATCCTCATCTGAGTTCAGTTTTTCCCTTCCCCCCTCCTGCGCGAAGCGCGGAAGCTTTTACGTTTCATAAAATCATTGGAGAAAGAAGACAATTCGTTGTACCGTTCTCGACTCTTAATCCTCGTCTGAATTTAGTCCCCCCCCCCCCTCCCGCGCGAAGCGCGGAAGCTTTTACGTTTCATTAAATAATTAGAGAAAGAAGACGATTCGTTGTACCGTTCTCGACTCTTAATCCTCGTCTGAATTCAGTTCCCCCCCTCCCCTCCCGCGCGAAGCGCCTAAGCTTTTACGTTTCATTAAATCTAGAACGTTTCATTAAATTAGAGAAAGAAGACGATTCGTTGTACCGTTCTCGACTTTAATTCTCATCTAAATTTAGTCTTTTCCTTCCCCCCTCCCTCCCGCGCGAAGCGCGGAAGCTATTACGTTTCATTAAATCATTAGAGAAAGAAGACGATTCGTTGTACCTTTCTCGACTTTTAATCCTCATCTGAATTCAGTTTTTCCCTTCCCCCCCTGCGCGAAGCGCGGAAGCTTTTACGTTTCATAAAATCATTGGAGAAAGAAGACAATTCGTTGTACCGTTCTCGACTCTTAATCCTCGTCTGAATTTAGTCCCCCCCCCCCCCCCTCTCGCGCGAAGCGCGGAAGCTTATACGTTTCATTAAATAATTAGAGAAAGAAGACGATTCGTTGTACCTTTCTCGACTGTTAATCCTCATCTGAATTCAGTTTTTCCCTTCCCCCCTCCTGCACGAAGCGCGGAAGCTTTTTACGTTTCATAAAATCATTGGAGAAAGAAGACAATTCGTTGTACCGTTCTCGACTCTTAATCCTCGTCTGAATTTAGTCCCCCCCCCCTCCCCCCCCCCTCTCGCGCGAAGCGCGGAAGCTTTTACGTTTCATTAAATAATTAGTGTGGCTGCCGCCAGAATTTGTCATTAGTATTTTTAATTTTTGTTCATAGCACCACCTATTTTACATGTGCATCGCCCTTTAAGTAATTTCTCTTTGTTACTTAAGAAAGATTTACAGCGCATGCCTAGCGCGGGTCAATGTCAATAAAAGGCCTACAAACACATTTTTAGTACGCACGAGAAAATAGTTCCATACATTCAAGCATAAGAAATAAGTTATTATCATTAATTATGTACTGAAATGTAAAGTAATGTTCATTGAAATGCGAATAACATTAGTAAATTCTGTCAAAACTAAATCGTTGGTCGTTTTAAGTAAAATTCCAGTTGGACAAATTATTTGATATCCGTGTGCCGATAAGTTCGGTGAACGCGTTGACCCTTGGCTTTTCTGAATTACGACCTGGCCCAAGCAATACGTGTTTTGTGGGGTCTTCAAGAAACGCCAAAGTTTCAAGGTATATTTTGCTGCCCAAGGATGGAAAAGTCCTGCCAACGAGGTATGTTATGGCAGAAATGTATTTAGAACAATTTAATATTACTTACATGATCTATCAGTTTGTAATTTTGATACATTATAAGTGTTTTTTCATGTTGTGATTAGTAGCGTTCAGTGAGCTAGTTTTCCACACACGTGAGATTGTTTACATCTAACGCTAAATTATGGAAAGCCATTTGAATATTTCATGTTTGAGTAATTATTCATGAATAAGAATTCTCTGTAAATCAGTAGCATATAAAACTTGCTTTTATATTCATAGTCTTAACTAGTATGCTCTTAATGCATGTTTATCAAATTTCTCGTAAGAGACTTGTAGCTCATATCATAATTGTTTTATCATGAACCCTTTTTATACTCATTCTGACAAATCATATCTGTATGAACAACTCTCGTTAAGAACATCTATCTGGTTTATCAACTCTTTAAATTGACAAGTAATCTGTATATTTACTTGTGTACATATATTTGTATCTTTCGCACGGTATTTATTATTCTGTGCTATTTTATACTTTTTATGTTCACAGTTTTCACGGCACTGTTCATCACTGTTACTTTGTTTTGACAATCGTTAAGTCAAATAAAGACATTCGTCACCAGAAAATGAACATCCGTTTCAACGTTGAGTTATTTTGATCCTGCGGCAGCAACAGTGAAAACTCGGATGGACATGACACCTGAGAAATCCATAATTGGATCAACTACTCAAGCCAAATATTTGATGTGATGTCTGGAACTGCATTCGTCCTCACCTGGCCACTAAGGAAGCTGACGAGGAACTCGGCAAGACACGGGCAATCAAACGGCTTGGAGGTTGATCATCGCTCAAGGATGTCAGGTTCATTTTCATCAAAATAATTGAAGATTGAAATCAAAGAAAGAACACTAGAACATTTATATGCGATTGAAATTTCTCGTTTGGAAACTTAAGCAATAAACAAGCTAAAGATTGATTTAGGCTTGCATATCAACTTCTCGAGAGAATTTCAGATTTAAAACCTTTAAGATCTCTAACAGAGTCTTGGTTCGTATCCCAGAATTGTAACAGCTATTTATGCTGATTTGTTTGGATAACGTAATTTAAAACAACATAAGACTTGATTCCCTTATGATGTTTGGGATTTAAATTTTCAGCTAAGATTATAATTTTCTTAAAATACTTATCTAACGAGTGGAGATAAGTTTACAGAATTTGTTATGTGTATGTAACATCTCATCAAGAATAACCTTGTGTGTGCACTTATAGATGATTTTGAGACAAAATAACATGATCAAGTTCATTTGAAAGGATATTTTTTTATTAAGATTGAAAAAATTTCTAAACTAAAAAGAAACTGATTACCGATAGTGTTTTCCTTTAAGAACAAGGGAACAAAAGGTCATAATAATTTGAAATTGATTAGAAATCGGGTTACCTTGTTGATATTGGAATTGATTTGGATTCATGATAATATCATTAATTCTATGCTACGTTTGATATTTTTATTATTTCAAAGCTTGAATGTATCGAATTGTATGTCCTGCGTAGCGCTGTGTTTTTATCGTGCCCGAATTGAGATTTGGGTTAAAGCAGTTATCTTTGCTATTTGTTATCAGCTACTGCCATTTGCTGTTACCAGCCCACTCCCACACGCCCATTTCTATTTCACTTCCAAACTTTGATTCAAATTCAAACTTCAAATTTCGGTCAAGATTATTTAAATTTGATCTCAAATACTGATTTTCTTGTTGGTTTATTTACCTCAAAAATATATCGTTCAATATGGAAGGGCAACAACCAACTGAAAATAACTTGACTACTGACTCGACTAACTTACCTCCTGAAACACTTCGCCGCTCCACTCGTCCTGTCAAATTGACAGAGAAAGCATTGCAGAATAAAGAAGACGACCTTCAAGGTAAGTTTTTTGTTGAACATATAGATTTGCATTCGATCATACAATCTACTCGAAATAGCTTATTGTCTCAAAACATTGATGGTGATAGCTTAGCAGTGAATAAGCTTGACATTACTGCTAGGCTCAATTCTTTGAAGGAGATATTTGTTGAGCTAAAAAGGCTCAATGAAGACTCCATTGATGATGAGGTTATTGAGGCAATGGATGAATCTTCTATTTCTGTTCGTAATATCTTATCGGATATTGATAAGGTATCCAACATGTCTTCTTCTAGACAACCATCAATTCGGTTGGCGCACTCAACACAATCACGACTCTCGAGGACATCTTCCAGATCGTCACGACGAGTTGCAGTCGCAGCAGAAGCCGCTGCATTACAAGAAGAGCTTACAGCCCAGAAGCTTCAAAATGAACGGGAAAAGGAGCTCGAAAGAATGGAACTTGAGGAAGAAATGAGGAGGAAGCAAGTAGTTTTCAAAATGTCCGAGCTGAAAAGACAACTAGAAGAGGAAAGACTACAAGGCAAGCTCAAGGCACAAGAAGCAATTATGAGAGTCTACGATGAAGAAGATGGAACCAGCACAGTCTCTTCTTCATCCTCGCGTGGAGGTAAAACTGTTGTCAAAAAGATCGAAGATCAGCCAAATCCAACTGATGTGATCCCAAGGGCATCTCCCAAGTTAGAAAGCAAATTGATTGATGAACCAGCCTCCATCGTGTCACAGCAAGCGCAAGTAGTGCTTGATCCCCAAGCTCCGAAGTTCCAGCCAAGATCACCAGTTTTAGATCTCGCTGATGCCTTGGCTCAGAGTCGTCTACCCGTTCCGGAGCCGCAAATATTCACTGGAGACCCACTCCAATATCCAGATTGGGTGTCGGCTTTCACTACTCTGGTAGAGCGAAGAGGCACCCCTCCTGGTGAAAAAATTCACTACCTTCGAAGGTATCTTGGTGGTCCAGCAAAGGAGGCAGTCAGTGGCTACTTTCTCCTGAGATCAGAAAATGCATTTGAGCAAGCAAAGAGCACCCTTCAAAAGAGGTTTGGCAATCCATTTGCTATTGCTGAAGCCTTTCGGACAAAGTTGGATGTGTGGCCCAAGATAACCAGCAAGGATCACAATGGGCTGCAGCGGTTTGCAGACTTCCTTCAACAGTGTCTGGTAGCCAAGGCTGAGATTGTCGATCTCAACATTCTGGATGATATACGAGAGATCAACCGAATGGTTGCTCGACTACCAGATCATATCGTCCATAGATGGAATCGCTCGGTGGCACAGACAAAAAGGGAGCGACTTTGTTATCCTAGGTTTGCTGACTTCGTTTCTTTCATTGGGAACGAAGCAGACATTGCTAATGATCCTCTGCTCACTGTGGATGTTGGCAAGACTAGAGAGAGAAAACAGGAAACCGCAGTCTCAAAACGGGTAACCCTCTCTACGTCTGGCTCAACTTCACAGAAGCAATGTCTGTTGTGCAAGAGACAAAATCATTCCCTGAATGACTGTCGGGAATTCCTTCGGAAAGACATGTCCCAGAGAAAGGATTTCATCAAAAATGAAAGACTTTGCTATGGCTGTCTTGAAAAAGGCCATATGTCTAAATATTGCCAAAGCAGACTGGTCTGCAAGAAGTGCAGTAAAAGGCATCCAAGCTGCCTTCATGAGGACCAAAGAGATTCGAACAAGGCCAACTTGGCATCAAGCCAACCGAAGGAAGCTCAAACCGCATCGACCTCAAATCCTCAAGCTGTAACGCACAAAGTACAAGGCGATGAACGTAGTGACCTTACATCAATGATTGTGCCTGTGTACCTTTCTAGTACAGAGAGGCCTGACAAGGAGGTTCTAGTGTATGCACTACTAGACTCCATGTCAAACACCACCTTCCTTTCCGAAGATGTCGGCCAAGACCTGGATGTACAATCCCAGCCTGCCACATTGTCGTTGACAACCTTGACGTTTCATTAAATCATTACGAAAAGAAGACCATTCATTTTACCGTTCTCGACTTTTAATCCTCATCTGAGTTCAGTTTTTCCCTTCCCCCCTCCTGCGCGAAGCGCGGAAGCTTTTACGTTTCATAAAATCATTGGAGAAAGAAGACAATTCGTTGTACCGTTCTCGACTCTTAATCCTCGTCTGAATTTAGTCCCCCCCCCCCCTCCCGCGCGAAGCGCGGAAGCTTTTACGTTTCATTAAATAATTAGAGAAAGAAGACGATTCGTTGTACCGTTCTCGACTCTTAATCCTCGTCTGAATTCAGTTCCCCCCCTCCCCTCCCGCGCGAAGCGCCTAAGCTTTTACGTTTCATTAAATCTAGAACGTTTCATTAAATTAGAGAAAGAAGACGATTCGTTGTACCGTTCTCGACTTTAATTCTCATCTAAATTTAGTCTTTTTCTTCCCCCCTCCCTCCCGCGCGAAGTGCGGAAGCTATTACGTTTCATTAAATCATTAGAGAAAGAAGACGATTCGTTGTACCTTTCTCGACTTTTAATCCTCATCTGAATTCAGTTTTTCCCTTCCCCCCCTGCGCGAAGCGCGGAAGCTTTTACGTTTCATAAAATCATTGGAGAAAGAAGACAATTCGTTGTACCGTTCTCGACTCTTAATCCTCGTCTGAATTTAGTCCCCCCCCTCTCGCGCGAAGCGCGGAAGCTTATACGTTTCATTAAATAATTAGAGAAAGAAGACGATTCGTTGTACCTTTCTCGACTGTTAATCCTCATCTGAATTCAGTTTTTCCCTTCCCCCCTCCTGCACGAAGCGCGGAAGCTTTTACGTTTCATAAAATCATTGGAGAAAGAAGACAATTCGTTGTACCGTTCTCGACTCTTAATCCTCGTCTGAATTTAGTCCCCCCCCCCCCCCCCTCTCGCGCGAAGCGCGGAAGCTTTTACGTTTCATTAAATAATTAGTGTGGCTGCCGCCAGAATTTGTCATTAGTATTTTTAATTTTTGTTCATAGCACCACCTATTTTACATGTGCATCGCCCTTTAAGTAATTTCTCTTTGTTACTTAAGAAAGATTTACAGCGCATGCCTAGCGCGGGTCAATGTCAATAAAAGGCCTACAAACACATTTTTAGTACGCACGAGAAAATAGTTCCATACATTCAAGCATAAGAAATAAGTTATTATCATTAATTATGTACTGAAATGTAAAGTAATGTTCATTGAAATGCGAATAACATTAGTAAATTCTGTCAAAACTAAATCGTTGGTCGTTTTAAGTAAATTCCAGTTGGACAAATTATTTGATATCCGTGTGCCGATAAGTTCGGTGAACGCGTTGACCCTTGGCTTTTCTGAATTACGACCTGGCCCAAGCAATACGTGTTTTGTGGGGTCTTCAAGAAACGCCAAAGTTTCAAGGTATATTTTGCTGCCCAAGGATGGAAAAGTCCTGCCAACGAGGTATGTTATGGCAGAAATGTATTTAGAACAATTTCATATTACTTACATGATCTATCAGTTTGTAATTTTGATACATTATAAGTGTTTTTTCATGTTGTGATTAGTAGCGTTCAGTGAGCTAGTTTTCCACACACGTGAGATTGTTTACATCTAACGCTAAATTATGGAAAGCCATTTGAATATTTCATGTTTGAGTAATTATTCATGAATAAGAATTCTCTGTAAATCAGTAGCATATAAAACTTGCTTTTATATTCATAGTCTTAACTAGTATGCTCTTAATGCATGTTTATCAAATTTCTCGTAAGAGACTTGTAGCTCATATCATAATTGTTTTATCATGAACCCTTTTTATACTCATTCTGACAAATCATATCTGTATGAACAACTCTCGTTAAGAACATCTATCTGGTTTATCAACTCTTTAAATTGACAAGTAATCTGTATATTTACTTGTGTACATATATTTGTATCTTTCGCACGGTATTTATTATTCTGTGCTATTTTATACTTTTTATGTTCACAGTTTTCACGGCACTGTTCATCACTGTTACTTTGTTTTGACAATCGTTAAGTCAAATAAAGACATTCGTCACCAGAAAATGAACATCCGTTTCAACGTTGAGTTATTTTGATCCTGCGGCAGCAACAATTAGAGAAAGAAGACGATTCGTTGTACTGTTCTCGACTCTTAATCCTCGTCTGAATTCAGTTCCCCCCTCCCCTCCCGCGCGAAGCGCCTAAGCTTTTACGTTTCATTAAATCATTAGAGAAAGAAGACGATTCGTTGTACCATTCACGACTCTTAATTTCTTTAAAAAGGGGGTGGGTTTTTTTTCTCTCTCTCTTTGGACTCCTGAGAAATGTAAAATGGGGTTATAAAATATCTTGAATATCATAGAAAAATTGATCAAATCCCGGGATCAAATTTCTGAAATTCCTGCTAGCTTTGAAAGCTCATTCAGGATTATTTCATTTTGAAAATTAAAAGCATTGCCCCTCAGTCCCCCTCGATCGACTAGATCGACTCGCTCACCTGAAATCGGGGGGGGGGTGGTACATTTAGCAGTGATCCGGATTTTTTTTTTTTTTTTTTTTTTTTGGGGGGGTCTCCAAGGTAGGAAAAGCCAGCGAAAAGCCGGCGAAAGGGGGATTCAGAAATGTTGGCAGTCCTGAGATAGGGTGGGGGGGGGGGTGCTTTCAAAGGGAGGGAACGAGCGTACGCGTACCCTAAATAACACTATCATTAGAGAAAGAAGACGATTCGTTGTACCTTTCTCGACTTTTAATCCTCATCTGAATTCAGTTTTTCCCTTCCCCCCCTGCGCGAAGCGCGGAAGCTTTTACGTTTCATAAAATCATTGGAGAAAGAAGACAATTCGTTGTACCGTTCTCGACTCTTAATCCTCGTCTGAATTTAGTCCCCCCCCCCCCCCTCTCGCGCGAAGCTTATACGTTTCATTAAATAATTAGAGAAAGAAGACGATTCGTTGTACTGTTCTCGACTCTTAATCCTCATCTGAATTCAGTTCCCCCCCCCCCTCTCGCGGAAGCTTTTACGTTTCATTAAATCATTAGAGAAAGAAGACGATTCGTTGTACCGTTCTCGACTTTTAATCCTCATCTGAATTCAGTTTTTCCCTTCCTCCCTCCTGCGCGAAGCGCGGAAACTTTTACGTTTCATAAAATCATAGAAGAAAGAAGACGATTCGTTGTACCGTTCTCGACTCTTAATCCTCGTCTGAGTTTAGTTTCCCCCCCCCCCTCCCGCGCGAAGCGCGGAAGCTATTACGTTTCATTAAATCATTACGAAAAGAAGACCATTCATTTTACCGTTCTCGACTTTTAATCCTCATCTGAGTTCAGTTTTTCCCTTCCCCCCTCCTGCGCGAAGCGCGGAAGCTTTTACGTTTCATAAAATCATTGGAGAAAGAAGACAATTCGTTGTACCGTTCTCGACTCTTAATCCTCGTCTGAATTTAGTCCCCCCTCCCCCCGCCCGCGCGAAGCGCGGAAGCTTTTACGTTTCATTAAATACTTAGAGAAAGAAGACGATTCGTTGTACAGTTCTTTACTTTAATTCTCATCTAAATTTAGTCTTTTCCTTCCCCCCCCCCCCTCCCGCGCGAAGCGCCTAAGCTTTTACGTTTCATTAAATAATTAGAGAAAGAAGACGATTCGTTGTACCGTTCTCGACTCTTAATCCTCGTCTGAATTCAGTTCCCCCCTCCCCTCCCGCGCGAAGCGCCTAAGCTTTTACGTTTCATTAAATAATTAGAGAAAGAAGACGATTCGTTGTACAGTTCTTTACTTTAATTCTCATCTAAATTTAGTCTTTTCCTTCCCCCCCCCCTCCCTCCCGCGCGAAGCGCCTAAGCTTTTACGTTTCATTAAATAATTAGAGAAAGAAGACGATTCGTTGTACCGTTCTCGACTTTTAATCCTCATCTGAATTCAGTTTTTCCCTTCCCCCCCCCCTTTCCTTCCGCGCGAAGCGCAGAAGATTTTCAGTTTCTTTAATCATTAGAGAAAGAAAACGATTCGTTGTACAGTTCTTTACTTTAATTCTCATCTAAATTTAGTCTTTTCCTTCCCCCCCCCCCCCCTCCCTCCCGCGCGAAGCGCGGAAGCTATTACGTTCATTAAATCATTAGAGAAAGAAGACGATTCGTTGTACCGTTCTCGACTTTAATTCTCATCTAAATTTAGTCTTTTCCTTCCCCCCTCCCTCCCGCGCGAAGCGCGGAAGCTATTACGTTTCATTAAATCATTAGAGAAAGAAGACGATTCGTTGTACCTTTCTCGACTTTTAATCCTCATCTGAATTCAGTTTTTCCCTTCCCCCCTCCTGCGCGAAGCGCGGAAGCTATTACGTTTCATAAAATCATTGGAGAAAGAAGACAATTCGTTGTACCGTTCTCGACTCTTAATCCTCGTCTGAATTTAGTCCCCCCCCCCCCCCCCTCCCCCCTCTCGCGCGAAGCGCGGAAGCTTTTACGTTTCATTAAATAATTAGAGAAAGAAGACGATTCGTTGTACTGTTCTCGACTCTTAATCCTCGTCTGAATTCAGTTCCCCCCTCCCCTCCCGCGCGAAGCGCCTAAGCTTTTACGTTTCATTAAATCATTAGAGAAAGAAGACGATTCGTTGTACCTTTCTCGACTTTTAATCCTCATCTGAATTCAGTTTTTCCCTTCCCCCCTCCTGCGCGAAGCGCGGAAGCTTTTACGTTTCATAAAATCATTGGAGAAAGAAGACAATTCGTTGTACTGTTCTCGACTCTTAATCCTCGTCTGAATTTAGTCCCCCCCCCCTCTCGCGCGAAGCGCGGAAGCTTTTACGTTTCATTAAATAATTAGAGAAAGAAGACGATTCGTTGTACTGTTCTCGACTCTTAATCCTCGTCTGAATTCAGTTCCCCCCTCCCCTCCCGCGCGAAGCGCCTAAGCTTTTACGTTTCATTAAATCATTAGAGAAAGAAGACGATTCGTTGTACCGTTCTCGACTTTTAATCCTCATCTGAATTCAGTTTTTCCCTTCCCCCCCCCCCCCCCCCCCCCCCCCATTTCCTCCCGCGCGAAGCGCGGAAGCTTTTACGTTTCTTTAATCATTAGAGAAAGAAAACGATTCGTTGTACATTTCTTTACTTTAATTCTCATCTAAATTTAGTCTTTTCCTTCCCCCCCCCCCCTCCCTCCCGCGCGAAGCGCGGAAGCTTTTACGTTTCATTAAACCATTAGAGAAAGAAGACGATTCGTTGTACTGTTCTCGACTCTTAATTTCTTTAAAAAGGGGGTGGGTTTTTTCTCTCTCTCTTTGGACTCCTGAGAAATGTAAAAATGGGGTTATAAAATATCTTGAATATCATAGAAAATTGATCAAATCCCGGGATCAAATTTCTGAAATTCCTGCTAGCTTTGAAAGCTCATTCAGGATTATTTCATTTTGAAAATTAAAAGCATTGCCCCTCAGTCCCCCTCGATCGACTAGATCGACTCGCTCACCTGAAATCGGGGGGGGGGGGGTGGTACATTTAGCAGTGATCCGGATTTTTTTTTTTTTTTTTGGGGGGGGGTCTCCAAGGCAGGAAAAGCCAGCGAAAAGCCGGAGAAAGGGGGATTCAGAAATGTTGGCAGTCCTGAGATAGGGTGGGGGGGGGGGGGTGCTTTCAAAGGGAGGGAACGAGCGTACGCGTACCCTAAATAACACTAAGTGGGAGCCGGGCATCTACTGTACATGATTGCACTTTTTAAGCGCTCGCGCGCTCGCGCACTTTACGTCTGGGCTATAATAATACCTTGCAAAATAACGAAAAATTATTCTGAAGTTTATGAAGTGCTTGTTCGCGCACGTCGCCAACTATTCTTAATGATAGTGACATACTGTATACGTGTAGGCTATACAGTTTTACATACATACAAAAAATAACTAATTTCTCATGCATTATGCTGAAATTGAAACAATCACATTTTTTCGTCTTCTTCTTCTTCCTTTTCTGTCTCTCTTTTTTTTGTAATATCAGGGGGGATGATTGTACAGGCCATCTCCCCTACCTCAAGCCAGGGGGGGGGGGGATGCAGCCCCCCCCCCCCATCCCCCCCGGGATTTACGCCCCTGATTGAGGGTACAAAGTGTAGTCTATCTTGGGGTAAGTGGATTTGCATGTCAGCATAAAATTTGCTGGATGGTTAACCATTTAGCGAATGGCTCATCTATAATCTCAGGTTGTTAAAGAGTTTAGAGATTCTAGACTGTGATTAGAAAACACTGGTATAGATAAAAACGAATTGTTAAACCATTACTTATATACAACCTGTTGGCACTATGGATTAACATTTTTTTTAAATCAATAATTTCAAGGTAAAATGGCGTCTGGTCCACTTGATTTATCTGTTTTAACATAGTTGAGAATTTGATATTCCTGAATACTTGTTGATTTGACATAAAATGAATTTGAATTGGTTAAGCTATTTATCAAAAGATTAATTAGGTTTTTGAAATAATTTTTGAAAGTGTTTATACCTATGTTAAAGGTACTATGTCCCATTTGCAGGCCAAACAAATATGAAAAGGTTAAATTCCAATGGTATTTGAAAGACGATTCTAACATGGAACTTCCCTCAAAAAGAAAGGGCTTGAAAATGGCTTGTAGTGGGAAAAGAACGACCATCTGTTGTCGAATCGATTTAAGTGATTGCAATCACCTATAAGTAATAGTCGAATGGTGGTAAATTTTGTGCTGCACAAAGATTCAATCAGTTTAATTTTGGCCATTACAAGTAGTGGGGTATTGATGTAGACAAAATGCTCATAATACCTGTTACAGCTCATTTTATGTATTTTATTACCAAAGAAAAAAAGATGTCAGTCACTGACAGTGCTTGACGTCTATAGGTAAACAGGTATCCTTGCATAATTTGAATACTAGGATAATATGCCTAATCGGTTTTAGCTTAAAGGGACTTGGTAACCCTGTTCAGATGAGAGAAGATTGTACTAAGGTAGTGAATTTCGGATCGATTTTAAGATCGATTTTAGGGTTTAGTGAAACACTCCCAGTTGTGCGAAGATAAGAGTCCAATACCAAATTTAATCATCCAGGAAAAACAATTTGTTTGTCGTTAGATTACAATATCCGCATGTTTTTAGCCTAGAATCTGTTTGAAACTCGATGGACATATCATTGAGCAGGTCAGTAATTATATCTACTTAGGATTTAGGACAAATATCACAGATGATGCCAGATGAGAAGCAGAAATAAAACGAAGAATAGAAATAGCTCGGAATACATTTCACGCAATGAAAAACTTATTTACATAATATAGAAAGGTGAACTTTGCGCTTACTGTTATGGATGGTCTATTGCATAGAGCAGAAACATGGACAATAAGCGAGGCAATGGGAAATGTCATAACATCTTTTGAAATGTGGATTTATCCTGGAAACGAATAAAAAAAAACCAACAAAGAGATATTGCAAATGGCAGGGCGTAAACAAATTGCACTGTTGGATTAGTTAAGGAGAGAAAAGTCAAATACTTTGTCATGTTAAAGCTTATCTGCCGTAGTTTACAGGAGGGATTAGACCGCCCTGCAAGGTCACTGGACAGGTGGTTATCTCATCAACTCAGCTCTCAGTTAACATAAGAAAAAGAGGATCATGGGGGACCAATGGTCACCGATTAGGCATTGTGTGTTATATAGAGGGCGCAAGTAGCTAAAAGTAGTGCAGTGGGCCTTTAAAAGGCACCAAAGCCTCTTAAAATAATATGTTAGAGGGAAGAGTAGAAGGAACTAGACCGAAAGGGAAACCCAGAATCAACTGGGAAGAGAATGTAAAGAGGGGGGTGTTTCACAAAGATCCTAAGTAGAACTTAACTCTAAGTTGGACTTAAAAATTATGGACAGCCATTGGAGTCTTAAAATGAAATATATTCAAAAGCAGAAATTCAAGTATTTTAGACTTTTTACAAATTCCACATCCAGAACATGAAATCTCCTTGATGCTAGAAAATATGAATGATTTGAATAATTATTAATGCCTTTCAAAATAACTTTTACAAAATATTTTCAAAGATGCTAATGGCTTTCCATAATTTTTAAGTCCAACTCAGAGATAGGTTCAACTTAGGATCTTTGTGAAACACCCCCCCAGGAGTGCACCAGAATGGCAGAAGAGTGAAATGAAGATAATTATGTTTCAATCCACTGCCTAACCGGGATAAGATAGATAGATAGATGCCCTCTAAATTTATCTACAAGGATAGATAAACATGTCCATCAGTATAACAAACAAAAAATAACTTGGTTTCATTTGGCGGACACACTCATTTGTATATAGTCTATGTGAGATAACACAAACGACGGTTAATAATATATTTTAGTGCATACTTTTCATAAAATTCAAAGGCTAATGAGAATGCTCCATTTTTTTTCTGCGTCCAGACACATCACAGCCCCATAATATAGAAATTTATACCCGTTGCATTTTAATTGCAAATAAAATACATAATTTTTTAAATAATAAGTTACGTGCATTATGACACCCCGATGCATGGAAGGAGCTACACTTTTTTGGATTTCCTTCCTTATAATAGTATTTTGATACTCAATCCTGTGGTAATTTATATTTAATAATTTGCTGACACCACTTAACAGGTTACATGCTATAGAACTTATCGTGTTTTTTATTCATATATACCTCCTTAACTATTTAATCTATGCATTTCTTTGTTTTTTATTTCGTTTTTTATGATCATGCATATCTTGTTATAATTCAAGTTACTGTCGGGGATACAGCCCTGTAACAGTTTTTCAAACCTTTTGCTGCTTCCCCGGGCCCCAGACATGTTTGGTTTCTACTGAATGTCTGAATAAATACAATAGTCAAATGAAAATACAATACATTACCCGTTGCAAACGATGATATACTACCGATATATATTATAAACATGTACCTCGATAATGAACCACGGTCACGGTCTTTGAACGGCTCCTCACAATCACATCTCGAATGGCAACATGCAACAGCAAGATAATTCGCAGACAGCACACACTAATAATTTATCTCAGGACTCAAGCTTCTCGATCGTCAAAAGATCCACATTAAAGATGTAGATCCAACATGATAGACACGAATTGTAACTGTAAGCATAAAATGATAAAACAGGTAGCAGCCGTATAATGCACTGCCATCAGCACATGTATAAATGATGCAACAAAGAATGTTGTCGTCTGCTCCTGTTATGTGTATGTGGTATGGATGAGGAAGTGAATAGTGTTCGCACTATGGTTCGCACGCAATTTCACTGACCATACAAATACATGTTTGTGGCATCATGGCTGAACGTCTGTTTTTTAGAGCAATGGTCTGCGCGCGCAGACTCTATTTTCTTGCAAGAAAACAAACAATTAGGCCACTGCCAGATTGGGGCGGTATTCTTAGAACTCTGGTCCCTTTGGTATCTCAAAAATTGTTGTTTCTTCACCGTTAAAACGAAATAGCTATGCTGAAAATGAATTTTCTTGTGACTTTTGTTCGTATCTTTGTACCCGCGCTCATATTGATATTGCGCACCAAGGCCAAGCGTGCGCAGGCCTAGTCTAGTTCTAGACTTTTTTTTTTTTTTTATTGATTTCTTTTATTCGCCGAGTGCTAGCGCGAGCCCGAGAACCTGTTTGTTCTCATTTACTTTTCACGCAACAAAGTCCGGCCCGAGAATTGTAAAAAAAAGGGGTTGTATTTGATTTTTCACCCGGACATTTCTTCAAAAAGGGGTGTTTTTTTTTTTCTCTCTCTCTCTATAGATTCCTGAGAAATTATAAAGGAGGTTAGGCCTATAAAATATATAAAAGGGGGTGTTTTTTCTTTCTCTTTTTGGACTCCTGAGAAATTTAAAAAGGGGGGTCTCCAAGGCAGGAAAACCCCGCCCAAAGCCCGTGGAAGAGAGTTCAGAAATGCTGGCAGTCCTGAGATAGGGGGAGTCGCTTTCAAAGGGAGGGAATAAGCATACGCACTCCCTAAATAACACTGGATTGGGGGGGGGGGTATACACGATACGGGCTAAAATTAAGAAACCAAATTACATTTCAATAAGTAGCCCCCATCAAAATGAAAATAACCCCCACGAGAACCCTGAATGGGCCCTTTTTGTAAATTAGAAAAAAGAGCCCCCTTGGAAGAAAACAAATATAATTTGTCCTTAAAAACCGAACACAAAAGTAACTACGCCCCTACACAATTATTTATAATGTCATAACCTAGCTAGAATCGTTTCAAGATTTCGTCTTGCAAAAATATTTCTATGGTTATTAGGAAAACAAAGAATGTGTAAAGATGATAGGTTACCATTAATCCATGGTTGAGTATAAGCAGTCTTCATATTTCATTATAATAATTTGCAATTGTAAAACATCGCATTTTGAATTGTTTTAATAGGGCCTACTCGGTAAACTGCAACCGTTAATAATTAACGGTTGCAGTTTACCGAGTATTAAAACAATTCAAAATGCGATGTTTTACAATTGCAAATAATGCATTTAACCACATGTGCCATTAAAATTAAAAAAAGAATGGCATATTAAACAGCATTGTTTCATATAATCAATACATCCAGTTATGTGCTATTTCACAACAATGTACAGGCACGCACAATGTCTTGTGACTTTTGAATTGGGCCATTGCGTCTTTAATCTGTGCTCAAACAGCCATACCGTGATGAAATATCTCTGGTTTTCACACAAATTATTCATAACAACTTAAAGGCCCACTGCACTACTGGTAACGACTTGCGCCCTCTATATAACAAACAATGCTTAATCGGTGACCATTGGTCCCCCATGATCCTCTTTTTCTTATGTTAACTGAGAGCTGATTTGATGAGAAAACCACCTGTCCAGTGACCTTGCAGAGCGGTATAATCCCTCCTGTAAACTACGGCAGATAAGCTTTAACCAATATTGTGGTAAGACGACATCGTGATACATTTTAAGGGTTATAACCTTATGAGCGCTTCTTTAGCCGTAGGGGTATAATTAGTAGTCTTCGTCAAGTCTTTCGTCTTCTTTGTGCATGGCTGATCGTCAACGAAACGGAGTTAATTCTTTTTCTACTCTGTTTGTTGCTACGGCAGGCAGCCAGTGAACACGAATTCGTTCAATCAAATTATAGAAATGCAAGTATCTCTTTAAACAAACACAACTTTGTTATTCCTGGCTCATTTTTTCTGATTGAGGTGTCATTTGAAAGGGCAAGAAATATTTTTTCTCTTTGATATTTAGATACCGCCGCCAAATGACTTTTTGGTACCCTCTCTTCAAATTGCTTTCAATCACTCATGCGTAAAATATGCATCATATGAGTTGAATCAAATGAAAGTAGAGGATCTACGCTTTGCAAATATGTTATTAATTACAATTTTGATTAAGTTATGATAAAACATCGATAATTCTCGGTCTCGTTTTTTCTGGGACGCACTGTATAATCATGATGAGAAGCAAACGATATTAGGTTACTTTTAAAACAAAATATTCAAAGCTGATTAAAATGCGGGTCGCTGAAAGAATATCAGTTTTATCTGCAATATAATACATGGTATTGAATTTCATTCAAAGAAGGAAAAAGATGTTGATATTTGTTTGAACTATGCACTTTTTACTTTGGAAAAGAATTTAAAGAGAAAAGAATAAAACAGAGACTTCTTCATATTTTGTTTTACCTCTTAAAGATACTATGTCCCTTTTGCAGCCAACATCGAATTCTGTATAGAACTTTGCAGGGATTATGAATATGTCATGTATGACCTATCTGCGAAAATCTGGGGAAAAAACGTGTAACAACATGATAATTTTACCTTTTTTTGGAGATGGGCCCCCTCCCCTCAAGGAAGGGGGGGCGGGGGTTCGATTTTTCAAATTTTCGAGGGCCAAAAATTAGTGCTCACTAATTTATTTGTTTGGCCCTCGAAAATTTGTAAAAATTGCACCCCTCCCCCCTCCTTGAGCGCCATGGGAGGGGGCTCATCTCCAAAAAAAGATTATCTTGTTGTTACACGTTTTTTTCCAAAGGGTGGCCCCCCCCCCCCTGGATCCGCCACTGCGACAACCATCCTCTAGGACAACAACCCCCAGACAACTATCCCAGGGGGTAGTTGTCTGGGTGTAGTTGTCTGGGGGAATTGTCCGGGGGTAGTTGTCCTAGGGGGTAGTTGTCCTAGAGGTTGGTTGCCCTACGGGGTAGTTGACTATCCGGGGGTGGATGACTAGGGGGCAGGTGTCCGGATACGCAAAAAATACATATAATACATGTTTGAGAGTGTATTATATATAGTAAATATGCAGTGCAGGCAGGTTAAGTCACAGTCTAATGAACGAGAATTGTCGAGTTCATTGTCCGTCTCATTGTGACATAACCAAGTGCAGTGCACATCAGGTGCCCGTTTCATAAAACTTTTTATCTAAATGCTTAATTTCTATGATAAATTTGCTCTCAGCCAATCAGATGCCATGATTTCAGTAGCTTATAACAGTAGCTTGTAACTTGTTACTGATATCAAGTTTAATGAAACAGGGCCCAGTGATGCACAAGCTAAAACATTGGGTCTACGATATAATAGGGACTTTTAGATTGAGTGGACGAGAACACGACGAACGCCGACTGATCATGCGTGTCAACGTACTTAACTGCCCATGTTGACTACAATTAGAAATCTTTTAGATTGCACTCGACGATATACAGCCATGCAGGAAGTAACACTATGAACATCACGGACAAAGAAAGATGACAAATATATAGTTCCTCATTCTACCCTCAACAAAAGAACATTCCTTCACTGCTATTAAATATGTAAAAATGTGTAGAACAGGTGAATATGCATGTGACACCCGTTCTACACATTTTTACATAATAGCAGGGAAGGGATGTTCCTTTGTCTACCTGAGGAACTGTATATTTTATGCGCACGCGGCATACTAGTACCTTGAGCATGTAAAGGCGCTATATAAATATCAATATGTATGTATGTATGTACTAGATTTAGGAAAATCAAGGGTGACGCATTCTCGATCGTCGACTGACACGACGTAACGCATGCGCAGTGCCTTAAAATGACGTCACACGTTGCAGTCAAAGCTGTCGACGTGCGAACAGGGCTCAAATTAATTTTTTGTCCACGGGGGCTCTTCCCCCCCCCCAAAAAAAGGGCCCCCCGTGAGCCTTCTCACGGGGGCTCTTTTAGTTCTGACGGGGCTCTTTTTTATACAAATATCCATTGAATTGGTACCTACGATACTCCTCAATTATTTGCTATTTCATCATTATCATTTCAATCAGCATTTTCCCTCTTACAAATTTACAAGCTACTGTTACTGGCCTGTGTATATAATATATACGCATACAACACTGATCTTTATGATGTCTTTAATGTGACATTTCTTCTTCTCCCCTTGCAAACGAGAAAGAAAACAAGGTCATTGAAAGGGATTAAGCGACAATAATGATTGTGATTCAAATTGATGCGAATATTAATTTTGTTTGAATAAGCACTGCTATTCACCCGAATCTTCTTTGTAAAAACAACTTTTCCAAATCTCATCCATGATTTCTGAGTTGAGACGTTCCATTCAATGTAAAATACTCATTATAGAATACACTTCTCCTAATCTGAAAGTGATCTTACAACACAGTGGCAGATTTGCATGGCTGAGATTTGTAAAAGTCGTTTTTAGAAAGAAGATTCTGGTGAAAAGCATTGCTTATTCAAATAAAAAATCCTTGCATCAATTTGAATCATAATGATCATTTTGTCGCATGATCCTTTTATTAAATAACCTTATTTTCTTTTTTTGTTTGCAGGGGGAGAAGAAGCTATGTCACGTTAAGAAATCAAAAAGATCAGTTGTATTACGCGTATATTATGACAACAAAACAAAATGTTGATTATCAGAATGTCATTTTGGAATACCTCTATACAAATACCACATTGTCTTTAGCCCGTATCAGTATTAGTATGATTCAATATAAAGCTATTAATCTTTATTTAATTCAGTAAAATGCTTTTCCTTAAAAATAGTTTTGCTATTTTTTTAGAGTTGAGACGCTGAGAAATGGTTTCAAATGTACATTACACGAACCCTGAACCATTGCAAAATGATGGTGGTTCTCTCTCTCTCTCTCTCTCTCTCTTTATTTTAATCATGCATTATCAACTACATATAAAGCAGCAACCAAAAACTTAGGGTTATCTGAGATAGGTGAAAGTAAGAGTTAAAAGAAAGTCATGCTAAAACGGCGCTTCACTTCCCCCCCCCC